TACCTCCCCCCCCGAACACAGCTTACAACTTTCATCGTACCGTGCTCTCCAAAGAGCGACTCTTCTCAAAATCTCACTCAAAAGGTGCTGAGTTGGAATCCCATTCTAACTAAGAATGAGTCATTGCCCTTCTCCGACCCTGACTGCCCAACCTGAGAGCGGACAACTAAATATTGATTGTGTGAGGCACACCATAAAACTTCTCGTAAAAAATATACAAACCGTCTTGCATAATATTGATTTAAATGAGCTTAAATGGAGAAATGTGGGAAGTGAAAATTCATATAACCGACCCCAACTTATTTCGGGTTGAGGCACAATTGTAGTTATTGTTGTTGTATTGAGTATATCTTTAAACTAGAAATGTTATATGCCAAAGTTAATGAGCAAAAATAAGTTAGTATTTCATGCTGCAACTACTACCACTTTATGAATCAAATCCCAAACTTCACTTTGCCTTAAAATCATAGCTCTGCCCTCATGACTCATACTTCAAGAGATGTTTCATGGTGCATCTTTTGTTTGTGAAAAGAACAGTTTCTAGCAGAGAGAAAGGGCCAAAGGGGTGGGACTCATGGGACCCGTAATTTTCGACACGAAGTATAAATTTATATGCAGAAAAACTACTTAAATCTTAATAAATATTAAATCTAAACTCATGATTTTAACGGTACAATATGTGTTTATTGTTAAAAAAATTTAAAGGTTAAACCCGTTAAGTTTCTCTCATGGGACTGTTAATAGTAAGGTAAAGGGCAAAAAGTGTCCTCCAGAAAGTGCAGTCAGTTGCTTTAAGACTTTGGCAGTGAACCACACGAGAAAAACTGCCTCCCCTTTACTATTCATGCATGCATGTCACCAACGGAAAAAACTAACACATCCTTTTACAATAAATATTAAATAAGTTAATCAAACACAGATTCAGAACTTTATGTTAGAGTAAATTCAATAAAGAAAGAATTACGGCCCTGATCACTTGGCCTAGCAGCCCAACCGAAAATGGCCCAGATTTGAAGCTCTTACCCTATTTAGCCCATGTTGTACATAACTTGAAAGAAACTTTTTAGCCTTTAGCCCATTATTAAAGACACACTTTTAGGGTTTTTATTATTTTCTTCTTTCTTCATTCCCAGCACACCAAATTCTCTCTCACCGCCTCTCGCTTCTTTCTTTCCAACCCGCATAGATCCCTCATCCTCTCTTAACCTAGCCCCCGCTATTCCCCCTCCCCTACCCCCTACGCAGTTCTGCCATCAATGGCTCGAAGAAGGCTCGGGCTCCTACTCCGTCGTCCATGGTGGCAAGCAGAAGAATATCGAAGATTTTTGAAATTGGGTCTGACTCTTTGCAGTTTGAAACCTTAATTTCCAATGTCTGGTCGAGCTCCGAGGAGAAAAGATCGGAAGCTAAATCAATCTTCAACACGATGAAGCAGAAAGCTCCAGACTTGCTTGTTCTTAAGCTTGTTGACCTTCTTGGCTCATCGCAAGTTATTGATTCCCGTGATACGTGTGTTGTCCTCTTTGAAGTCTCGAATCTGAAATTGGGTGTATCGTATCTGTGCGTTGAATTCCGAATCGTTGGTGCAAAATTGCTAACCTATAAACGAGTTGAATCATCCAATACCTTCTACTACAACTCGAGGTTTGGATAAAAATCATAACTATGTAGCAGTTTGTATAAACATTGTATAATAGTGTATAATTGTGTATATGAATATACAAACACCTCTTATACACTATTATACATGTTTATACAAGTTATACAGTATTGTATAATTGTGTATAAATGTGTATATTTGTGTATAATATTGTATAATTATATATTTTTTTCAGTTTATAAGGATGTATACATTGTTAGTGTGTAAGAGGCCTCTACGGAAGTTTGACACTTCCTTCTCTTCTTCTTTTTCGTGTATGTGCTGTATAAAAAAGATTTGTACGCGTTGGAGGGATTCTACAATTCATTTAACAAGTTTTATTTTTCTTTTATCCTGTTGGATTGCTTCAGCAATAGCACATAATAGTGTATGAAAACAACTGGTTGTATAAAGAGGGAGCAATAACTGTAGTTGATTGTGTGAAATAAGCTGTCTTTCGGGAATTAGCCTATTATTTTTGGGCTATAGATTTGCAAAGTGGTATCTAGGCTATTATGTTGCAAGTCAGGTGTGTGAGTTGTATTTATGTGAAATTATCCCTTCAATAAATGTATATTCGTAATTTGTTTAAGTTATGTATATATAGACCGAGTCTACTTAACGTATGACCAGTAAAGGTTATGGTAGAATGGATAGAATTATTTTATCTTTAACCATAAGTCTTCGAGTTTTATGTATAGAAGAAATCCTAATATATAGTGAGCCCCACGGGCGAAGCCCCCTTTTGCTAAGGGTGGTCAATTAACCATCAAATTATTACGAAAAAATACACTGTGTATATAAATAAAATATTAGATTTTAAATGTATATAACATATAATGAATACCTTTTTTCGGATTTTTTTTATTTCTTACAAGTTTGAACACCCTTAACGAAATTTCTGGCTTCGCCCTTCCCCCTTTATATCATTCATTGCAACAATTCTAACAATCACTACTAGAAATTCGGCTAAAACCGACCGCGGCCAACAGATCGACTTCGGTCGGTCAAAAATCGACCGTAGTCGGTCGGTTTTCCAAGATATTTTATTTTATAATTTTTTTTACGAAACTGACCGACTTCGATCGGTTTTTTGGCGCAAAAATGTGAAAACTATTTTAGAATCCCGCAAAACTATTTCCTTTTTTTTTTGTTTTTTATGGTAAAGCCAAAATCTCATTGGCCAGTTGGAAAAGATGAGCTCACTTCCTCCATATATGTGTATACGTAGAAACAAACTTGACATCTTATCACGTTCTTATTTGTATATTTATGTATATCTTGTAGTCACATCTTTTACCCAATTTCATATATACTATGCATCATAATACAACTGGAGACATTTGTTATAAAATTCGCCGCTATCCAATAGTCGAGAAGCACATCTCTTCTCATCATCCAATAGCCGAGAAGCAAATCTTGAAAGGGTTGTATAATAATGACCACATATAATGTATTTTGTTTGGACTCATTCTTAAAACAAAAGTACTTTGGTGATCAAAATACCTTAACAGAAAAATTACATCCTCAACTTAGATGAGGTAGTTCGATTCGGCACGGAGTTTAAGAGTAAGAAGAAAACTTTTGAAATTTGTGGTCTTAAAAGCTTAAATGGTAAAAAAAGTTTGGGGCGATGACATTTGTGTGGTTATAAAAGCTTCTCATTAAGGATAAAATGGATAAAATGAAGAGATTAAAGTTAAATTATTTCTAAGTGTAGAAATGCATCATTCTTTATGGAACGGAACAATAAGGAAAGTGTGCCACCTAAATTGAAACAGAGGGAGTAGTATTTATAAGTCTATGATATTATATACACGGTAAAGTTATCTCCATGTGACCTATGTTACGGATTCGAGCCGTAGAATCAGTTAGTAATGATTGCATTAAGGTAGGCTGCCTACATCACACTCATTGGGGTGCGGCTCTTCCGTGAATACTGCGTGAATACGGAATACTTTATGCACCGCGCTGCTCTTTTTTTTTTTTTTAAATGCAGAAGAAAATAAAATTTGGGGGACCATAAAATCTCCCATACCTTTTGATCTAAACAAATTTAAAGAACATAATGCCCACATGGTAACGTGTGATGGGGATGGGATGCCCTTATTTTCTTCTCTTTCTTTTTTCTTATTATATAATTTGGCTTAATATTTAAATATTTTTGAAATATATGGAGTATCAAACTTCAGAAGAAGGAAAAAACACATTAATATAAAGATTTTTGTTTTTATTCAAGATTTTTGACCCCATCTAACGTTGGCTCAGTTGCCCCACTGCATGCGCACTCACATATAAAGCAAAGTAGGTATTATGTGGAAAAAATGAAACCTATTTTCCCTACCCTACCCTCTATTTTTTTTAAGGAAAAAGATTTAAATTTACTCACCTGTTATATAAAATATTTTAATTTTACTCTCCGTTATACTTTGAGGTTATATATAACCTTATCTTTGGCAAGTCATTTTATACTCCCCTGGTTTTTAACAGAGTTCAATTTTGCGTATGTTGGATGGATTCCACATGTTAAAATACTTAAAAAGAATTCAAATTTATCGTTCTATTTTTTACAATGCTTAAAACTCTCCTCTATTATAATATTGGTTAGAGCTTCATTAGGGTTAAAACGAAATACGAGATAATTTGATAATGATAAGGGTATAAATAAATGACCATAAGGTATAAAGGATGGTAAAATTAAAATATTTCAATAGTAGAGGGGTATATTAGATCATTTTCCTGTCAATTCATGCACAAAATCTCGGCTATTTCACTGGGTTTATGCAAATATACTTTCCACAAGAACAAATATTAAGTAATTTTGCCTACTAAAACTTGGACAGATGAAAATAAATTACATAGTCGCATTTTATAACCACTTATATTTGAAACTAGAGGTGGCAAAATGGTTAAAAGAAAACAGTTAACCACCCATATTATTCACTAAATAATGGGTTGGATAATGAACTTTTTAAAAACGGATCAAATATGGATAAGAACCATATTATCGATTTAGAAAATGAATAACCAATGGATAACCAATAGGTTTAATTTTTACATTTGTAAAGCCTCAAATTGGGGTCTTCAAGTTTGGGAGACTAAGAATTTTCCTAAACGTGATCATATGCAAGAAGTCATGGATAATATGGTTAACCATATTATCCGCCGGTTAACCCGTTTTTTATCCGTATTAAATATGGGTCGGGTCGGATAATTTATCTATTTTTTCATTACCCGTTTTCAACCCGAACCATATCCGACCCGCCCCGCCCGTTTGCCACTCATATTTGAAACCCACTCTATAAAGTTGCTTTCACAAATTATATATGCTATTGTGGTCCTTTACAATTTGTTTAGTTTGTATGGGCATTGCTTCTAGTTCCACTTCACAACTCTCTCCATTCCTCTCTTTATTGTGTCATATCCTCATTGCTATTTTCCTTCTATACTTGTAGAGAGAATATATTACTTCTTATTATAATTCCTCTAGATGATGATAAGAAGTGATGAATATTTGAAGATATATACTTTTACTAGTTTTACATGAAGTCCTATCATGCTTTTCCACAGCTTTCTTGAACTTCTTCCCCTCTGAATTTTCATCTCTAGCAATTGAATAGCTGATGAGATGAAATTAAGCTATGAAAGTTCAAGAAAGTTGTGGGAAAACATGGTGAATTTAGGACTTTTTTCGTGCATAGTCAAAGATGTTTAGGTAGTCAACCAACTGAACTATTAAAATTTCGCTCGGGGTAAGTTCTAGAAACTACCTTAGAATGTTTCTCTTTCTGTTTAGATGCTAATAAGTGACACAACTCTAAGAATTTGGCATAATCCATATGAATTCTTCTCATATTTTTTATTGGTATATCAAACTTTTTGAGAATTATGTATTTTTAACATCTTCTGAATTATTTTTTTCTAGATTGGATGTTTGAATTATTGACAAGATAGTAGATCCATTTCTAAAATTCTTGAATTATTTGAAATTATTTCATGGAATGGAAAATTCATAAATTACCATATTAATTCTATCAATTGCAGAATTTTGAATTCCGAAGGGGAGCCTTGGAAGAGGAGAGCCTTGGAGCAACGGTAAAGTTGTCTTCATGTGATTTATAGGTCACGGGTTCGAGCCGTGGAAACAGTCACTAATGCTTGCATTAAGGTAGGTTGTCTACATCATACCCCTTAGGGTGCGGCCCTTCTCCGGACCCTATGTTAACGCGAGATGCCTTGTGCACTAGGCAGCTGCCCTTCAAATTCTGAATTCTAAATTAGAGAAAGGTGACTGTTTTTCTATTTATTTTATTATTCTGATTTGCTTGACTTTTATGGTAGATCAATTTTCTGAATTCTGAATACTCATTCAGAGTGGTGAAAATTGAGATAATTAAAGTGGCAGAGAAGATTCCCTGGCTTTTCCTCTTTACCATCAATAATTGATATAGTTCATATTGTTTGCCCCTTTGTTTTTAGCTACTCTGTTGATATCATATGTTTCCGTGAAAAAGGTTAAATTTTGTTACTACTGAAAAGGAACAATCAAGTTTAATTTTACCTCCCCCCCCCCCCCCCACACCACACACACACATATATCTTGAATATATATATATATATTATATATATATATATATATAATATATATTATAATATATTAATATAATTGAGCATAATTTTCAAGAATATATGATGTAGATTATAAAAATAGCTTTATTTTAATAATTATTTTTATATTACGTGCATGGAATATATATTTTACAACCTTTATTTTTTTTCATTCTGAATTGTGTAAATAAACTTTTGCATTTTTGTTAATACTAAAATTATATTACTAACAAATTATTCTAATTAATTTTTTTATTATGCTCATTATTTTGTTATCCCAGCATTATATATGCTTAAATACTTCTTATTTTTTTAACTTTATAAATAATATTTATTTATTCTATAGGTAAGTCCATAATGTAAACTAAAATGGAAAAAAATTATAATATTAAAAAGTTTAAAAAAATAAAAAGAAGATAAATGTTTATAATTTAGAGGGTAAAATAGGTATTTGGCAATCCAAAATTTGGAAAATCTAGTTGAGTGACATTCTGAGTGCAATAGGCATAGTTTAATGACTTTGTTGTTACAAACGAAAGAAAAGTGACCTTAGGAGATAATTTAGGATAATTGAGTGACCATTTGAGTAATGGACTCTATAGAAGATATTGACAGATAAAATGCCTTTTTAACATTATGTTAGTAAAAGTGTAAAGAATTTTAACAATATTATTGTGTTTTAATAACGAAAGATGTTTCTTTCAAACGATAATGATAGATGTCAAACAATTATAATTATAATTAATATTCAACAACAACAAATCTAATTTAATTCTATCAATGGAGTCTGGGGAGGGTAATACGTACGCAGACTTCCTCCCTACCTCATGAAAGCAGTGAGGCTATATTTGATCGATCCTCGGCTCAAGAACAGAAGAAAAGAAACAGTAACAACACCAAAATAAGATGATAAGATCATAACCGAAGCGAAAGAGATAAGGAAAATCTAAGAATAGAAATATACAAAAATAATATTAATACTACTAATATGAGAAAGAGATAAGGTCTTCCTATAAAAGTTTCTTAGACAATTTACAGATTGTAATATCAACCTTTTTTCAATTTCAATTATTTTAATCCAATAATCATCTCATAAAATCATCTTCCTTGCCTTTTCTGAACTCGTCCACTTGAATTAGTACGTTCTCAAGACTTAATCATAGTGATCACACTGCTATTTGGTTACAGTTTACCCTAAAATTGGATAACAATTGAATTTATACGAGGTTTTAAGGGCACGTGATATAACTTGATACAAATTAATGCAAACCACACGAATTGAATAGCCTTTGCCCTCGAGTTCAGTCACTCTTAAACCAAATATGTTTCAACTTGCTTATGAACAAAATAACAAGATAATGAAATCTAGAAAATGACGGTATATTGCTTTGTATTGCATGATTATGATGTGATTACAAATGATTAGACTCCCCTTTATATAGTAGGGGAGTCCTACTCTAAGTACAATTCTATATGAGGTAAGAAATCCCATGATTGGCTAATTAATCGGCCTCTTCTTGGTATGTGGGGGGATTCGCGCCGTGATTCTCGCCCGGTTGCGGATATTTCGTCTTTCCGTTATTTAATTCGATAACCTTCCCTCGATCTCTATCTTGTTCGGTCTCGGTCTTGGTCGATCTCGATCTTAATCGGTCTCGGGGCTACGAGCTCGGCAACCTAACTTTACATCATGGTTCGATATAAGACGAGGCTGAACCTTGGCTTATCGTGTTCCAGTCTCGATCAGTCATACAAAAAGAGCAAGCCCAAATTTGACCGTATACAGTTACAAATACTAATTTTTTCTAATTACTATTTGCACGACTTGGTGTATTAATTTAGAGGTGACAGTCATTTTTCTTGAACTATTTTGGTGCAGCTCACAAGACCGTATCTGAATTCGCCTAACACATCATAAAAAAGGATGTTGCATTTTGTAGTTTTTGCATTAGTAATTTCATTTATTATAGAAGTATATACACTACTTTGCTCTAATGCTATTATTAAATAAAACCCGATAGCATGTGAATAAAAATAAAAATTTCCTAGTACGAAGTGTTTTCTCCTTTAATTAATTTTATGAGGTGTGACTCCGGATTGTTCTGGGCCCAATGCACGTACTAAATAGGGAAATGACACTGTATAGCCACTCTCAAAATAATACCCAAATATATATATA